TTTGAAAAAAAAAAAAAAAAAAAATTAATTGAAAGTTCTCTACTCGTTATCTTTTGTATTGGTGCTTACTACAATTTTTTTAAAGGGGAGAGGAAGGGAGACAATATTTAATTAAACATACTTTTTTGTTGTTTGTTTACCTTCAAAACAAAAGATAACAAAAATCCCAGGAGTGTGACTTTTAAAATATTTTTAAACAGAAGATCTCTGCTGCTTTAACTTGCACCTAAAATATAAACAGAGTAGCACTTTCACCTTTTTTTTTCAGCTTAAAAAATAAAAATCATATAGGAGCCTTAAGGATATGTCCTGATGCCATTATATAACCTCATTTTCTGCATTTGCCTGTATGAAGTTTACTGTTTTCTGTCGGTGTAGTACCTGCCATACTGTACACTCACACATGTGAATTGTGTCAATTTTTATTTTTTTTTCTCCTTACACATTTTTTGGTGGAATTCTCTTCCCCAAAGAAAAGTTATGGAGAGGGTCATGGTGGCAGTGCAAAGCAGGGATGGGAAGGGCAGAATTCTTCATCGACGAAAGCTGTGATTTATTTTGGCCTAATTGTAAAGTTACTACATATTGCTGGAAAGCTTTTTTTTCAAGATCTGGGTGATTAGATTTTCCTTCTTTTGGGGAGGGGCAGTGGGGGGAAGCTAAAAGGGGAAATAACACCTCTAATCCAGCTTCTGGTAAATAGGCTGCCAGCTTTTAAAATGAGTTTCCTTTCTATTAGTCAGAATATTATGCTAAGCCTTAAGCATTAGTTTTTTATGTTGCCATAGCAGCCTTATTCCTGCAGGGTTGTGACCTGCGATGATTACAGTACAAAGCTTATAGGGTCTTGAAACCCCCTTTGAAGATGAAAAGTCTTTGATGGTTTATATTTATGCAAATCTCTTAGATATGATTTACCCAACTGAGACTGAATGGAGAGATGATTAAAATTCCCTTTCCTTTGATATCCATTAATAGTCAAATATTCCTTAAATTTAAAATATATGCATATGTTATTTTTGTCTTTATTTACTAACATGTTTTCACCGTACCTGCGATATGTTTATCTCTGTGCAAATTACTCAATCTGGACAGACATAATAGATTTACAATATAGGGCTGAGGGTTTTTTCCCCCCCTTTTTTTTTCCTTTTTTTTTTTTTTTCCCCCTTTTGAAAGGGGAAAAATCTGTGCAAGAGCTTTTGTATGTTTCCAGATGATAGATTTTGGAATTTGGGCTACCCCACTGGCAGCTCAGAGCTAGCTGTGAACTGGTCTCATGGAAAAAATTGGCAAGCTTTGGTCTTCAAAGAATTAAACTTCCTTTTTAAGGCCTTCCTAGGTAAGCTAAAAAATTATGAAGAAAAGCCTATTGAACAAAAGGGTAACGGTGCCGTAATGAATAATACGGATGCCACTTAGAAGGCTGAGGAGCACTTCCAGTGATGGCAGTGCTGGACCTGAAACAAAACCGGACCTCAGGTACAGCAGCACTTCATTGTTTTCCAGGACCCACGGATTTGCATTCCACTAAGCCAGGGTGAAAGGTGCTAAGCCTTGATTTTTTTTTTAATTATTATTTATTTAAATTTTTTTGCAAACCAGTCTGGAAACTTAGAAATGTATGGGAATGCTGGCATTTCAGATCGCAGGCCTTGCTAAAAGCTGGTTTAATTTTTTTAATTATAGGTTTTTGGGGTGGGAAAGGGTGTTGTTACAGCCAGGTGAAAATTTAACGTGTTATATATACATGTAGACTGTTCTTTTTTTTTTTTTTTTTTTTCTCTCTCTGATAGCTCATACTGTCTAGTTTTAGTTTTCAGACAAATTCTTACATCACCTAAAAGGCCGAACACTTGTAGAACCAATGAATTTTATCCCCTTTGTGGAAACAGCAGTGGGCTTGCTCAATTTTAAGGTAAGCAGGTCTTGAAGTGTTCATATTTTGCCGTCTCAGCAAACTAGGATAAGCAGAATACTCCCCAGTCTTCCCCTAATTTCATCAAGGAAGAGAGGTTAAAAATACTAAACATATCATTCAATCCCCTAAAATGTTTGTACATTTAACTCTCATACTTGTGTTGTAAAGGCCTTCATAAGTTCAAAATAATTCAGTGACAGAACAGTTCCAGATAGTCCATGACAAATAACAAAACCTCTCTGCATTATTGTTAACATTTTTAACATACTTGGAGTGGAAATGGGCTTCTCCAAAGATTTGGAATACTCAGTGGTGCAATACACTTGGCTATTTAGTAGCTATCAAACTCAACCTCTGTATAACAATTTATTAAAAAAAAAAAAAAAGAATTATCATCATTTCACTATTGCTAAACTGGTATCTTTATAATGATTTCTACTGATAACATTGCAACCAAATTTCATGTTATCTTTTTTCTGTGTGTATGATGGGGTGTTTAATGCTAAGATTATACGTATAATTAACCTTGAAAATAAGAAAAATCTGAAGAATGTCCTCCTTTTTAGGGTAATTTTGGATCAAATTTTATTTTTAAATTGCATGTTAATATAGATTACTCCCCAGCCTTTACTATCAAGTCCAGGTTTTTCAGAAAGGCGAAGCAGCGTGGTAATGAAACGGAAGATCTCGTGCATGCACCAGGAATTCAGCATTCCCCTCCCAAGCTCTGAGGGAAAAGTTTCGGACCAGCTGAGGACACACACATCAGAAGTACCTCCAGAAGCACCGGCAGGCCTCACAGGCAGCCTGCTCGTTTGATACACCCATTTATCTTACAACACACGCTAACCTATCTGGGAACATAATAAAGCAGTAACCAGACACACTCCTCTCCAGTGTGCATACACAGTATTAAATCATATTTTCAACTGGCTGAGGTTTTTCTTCACCAACAGTATTTTATAGTGGAATTTTTAATATTGCAGTTCCTGATGTTGGCAGGAGAGTTGCCTTTTAAAGCACTTTGTCGAAGAATAATTTCTTATCCCACCAGCTGCCATAGAAGAACACGCATTAGTAGAGCTTGTAATTATAGCTGTCTCTGTCCACGTACCTTAGCCTTAAAAAATATATTATCCAAATTTTTATATAAAAGAGTAATATTTTGTAAATGCACTTCTTTATAGAATAGCTACAGCAGCAAAATTTTGCTTGCTTTTATTTTAATACTTTTCTGCAGCACTTGTTGCATTTTTAACCTCCTTAGCTACTTTTTAGTTACATGTAGCCAAAGACTTTAAATTGACAATCCTATAAAGAATCCCTAATCTACAACTGTTTTAAACCATTCATATTATTTATTTAATAAGAGATATTATAATCTTTATTTCTGCTTCTTATGCAGATATATTACATGTCAAACTAATCAAATTTAATAATTTTTATTGGCTTTTAAGCAGCATTTGTCAGATGTTTTGTTTCATATTGTTATATAAATATCTGAAGTACCAATCACAATAATACCCAGGGCATTATGTCGACCAAAAGGTAGGGAATCAGCTACGATGTCCTGTATTTACACAGTCTAGGCATATAGGTGCCTGGGGAAAGAAAATGTTTTCTCTTTTGCTGAGTCATTTTAGAGCACTGTGCAAAGTAGAGCATCTACAATGGCTTTGCTCAATAGGAACAATTTTAGCTGAAGGATTTTTGGTAACACGGAGCTGCTGTAATATCCTCTTAGTCTCTCTCTGCGTCCTGTGTTTCTGTAGAAATTAATACTCTGTTCTCATTTGAAGGCTGTCTGTGAAGAAGCACTGAGAACAGGATCCCAGGTTGGCTTTCATTTGGACGCAGTCGTCTTCGGAGGAGAGGATTTCCGTGCCAGCATAGGTTATTACCTGTCTGTTTGCTATAAATGTTAACGTACGTCATTTGCATTGGAGAAGCCCAATGTAATTTATTGCAAAAAAGCAAAACATTGCTTTTCCAACAGCAATAATTAGTGTAATGACAGTACTTGATTCCACATTTTATGTTTTCGCTTTTCTCATTTTTTTTCAATGCAGAATGTATCACTGGGAAATCAAAAGGTGGTCCCTGTGTGTTGCAGGGCACTGATACTTCCTTGTGCTTCTTGCCATGCAGTACCAAAAGTTAATGAAAAGCCGAAACCTATTAAGTCACTGAAATTGTTTAAAAATATTATATCCATAAGAAACACGCACATGCTTTTAAGAAGTACATTTAATGTCCTAAAATTCCGGTGTCTGTTTCATCACAGTTTTATAGACAGTTATTTGTCAGGCTTCTGACATCACGCACAAATGCTCTCCTGCTACATTTTGTTTTCATAAATTTACTTTAAATATGTCCCATGTCAATACAGCACTATTAGTCTTCCTCAAAAATAAAAAGCAGTTCAAAATATCTCTTATGAGAGACTGCTGAACTCCTTATTAATCTGATTCAGTTTAAAGATAATAGTTCAGAGCTATCAACATTTAAATTAAAAAGAAGTACGTTAATGTAAAAATTAGCATTGCTTTATTAAAATATTCCTTACAAATTGGAAATCTGTGTCCAAATAGTGACCCTAAGGGAAGGGAACATATTATTGTTATTATTTTTTCTCACTAGCCTTCATATGAGCATATTGCTTAGCTGGTGCACTGTAGCACATGAAGCCTTGTAAATACTTTTGCTTCTTCTCAGAAGTAATCTACCATGATTTTTCATGCAAATACTAAAGCTTAAACATTCAGCTTAGGACATCAGTTGTGACAAGAATCACAACCAAGGAAAGTGCAATTCTGTTCTCAGTGTGAATTTTTTAACCATTTAGCTGTACCAAGTATCTCAATGTGTATAAAGCTTCTCTCACTGTACGTACAGTAAATAATATAATCAAACAATTATTTCAGGTTAATCCCAACTCCGCAGTCCTTAACAGACAAAACTTCTACTTACTTCAGACTTACAACTTCTCATTTGAACTGAATCAAAATCTGAACTTTATAAACTGGTGTTTAAAGAGATTTTTTTTTTTTTCCTAAAGCAGCTTTTTTTCCTCTTAAGAGTATTATTTCTTACAATATAGCTGTGCACCCCTCTTTTGTTTTCTAAATTGGTTAAATGAAATCTCAAACTTTTTTTTTTTTTTTTTTTTTTTTTTTTTACACAGGAAATATTTAAAATAGAAAGGTTTAAACCACTCCTGTCAGCTTTTCTTTGTTTCCATTATTTTTGCAGGTGCAACAAGCAGTAAGGAAACTCACGATATTCTATATGCCAGGCAAAAAATAATAGTCACAGCAAAGGCATTTGGCCTTCAAGCAATAGACCTTGTTTACATCGATTTCCGAGATGAAGATGGTCTCCGCAGGCAATCAAGGGAAGGTGCCTCAATGGGATTCACTGGTATGACTTTCTGCCAATGTCTCAACATAATGCATATCTTCTTTGATTTAAATATATTGCTACATTTATTGTCCTTAGACAAATGACTTGGTTTTTATTTTAGGTCATTTATTGAAAAACTCAGTAATACCAAGCTCTTATTAGCACCTTAGTAATTATGGCCAGAAATTTTGCCCAAAAAGTCACAGGCTGCTTTTTAAAACTACAACCCATGAAGCGTGTGACTGTTTTTGAAGAGAAATTGGGGTAAAGGCTGTGCAGTGATTCCTCCCTTCACAGAGCACAGGAAAGGCGATACTGTACTGTGTGATGGCCACTCTACAATTGCTTTTTAAATATTTTGATCCCTTCCTCCTATTTTTTTTAAACAGCAGTTGTTAAAAAAATACTTTTTAGGTGAAGGTGTTGAGAAGAAAATATCATATGCTAATTGCTAGGGAGAAGTTATTTTCTGATTATTTTCTTTGATTTGTTTTTCATCTCCTGGCTTCACTCCCAGTAAGTGCTGGTGACATCTACGGGTGCTGGCAGACAGCAAGAGCAGCAGGTTCCTTGCTCCAGAGTCCCGTAAAGCAGCCTGTTACCTGTGCTCGGTGTGCCAGGTCACTCGGACACCCTGGTGGGACAGTGCGGCCACCAAAGATTGGGTTTTTGCAATAGAAATCAGCCGTTTGACTCATGCATTAGAGCTTTCTAGCTTATAGAATGAACATTTTGCATTTATTTGTCTCTGACCGTCATTCAGGATGTACGTACGATAACAGTACATCTCTTGGGGTTTTATTACCAAAGGCATGGGTCCTGGTGACGTCATCTAGCAAACTGTATTTTTACAGTTAGCAGCATATGATATCTTAAAGCACCAAGCAAAATAATCTAATAAAACAAGCGTCCTTTGAAGTGATGGCGACGTGCCAGTGAAAGAATAACCATCAATGCTCTTCAGCACAAACCCTGCCTCACTGTCTGCTGAGCTTCTACATTTGCAAAACCAGATCTTGTTTTGGAGGCAAAACGGTTAGCTCCTCACGGCTACATTATCCACGTCCATGTGGACTTCCACCCTTCATTCGTCTGTGATTGAAGTTGGGAAAATAATAGAGCTCCTGAATGGTAGCACCTGCTGATGGCTACCTAATATTTCCTAGCTTAAGGAAAGGCTTGATTTTTCAAAAACTTAAGCATCTGAACCTCCTGTTGACAGGAGATGGAGTTGCAGATGCTCAGCACCTTTGAGAGCACTCTTTTTGAACACTTAATGTATATTTAAATGCTTATCTCAGGCTGCCAATTTAGGAAATTTAGAAATGCTCAGCATAAACAACATTCATGGTGGTTTGGACTCCACTGACTTTATGGTGGAAGTTGTCTGACATCACGATAGGGTCCAGATAGGAGACAAATAAAAGATTATATGTGCCAATTCAGGACATAAAGTGAAGTCAGCCATAGAGTTGTCTTGCTTTTCCGTATGAGGAGTAAAGATCTGTAAAAGGTAGAGACTTCACTAAGGTGAACTTATAGCTCCTGCTCTTTGCCTCCTGCCTTTCCAGAGCTATCATCACACATTTCCAAAATCCAGCAAACAGCCTGACAGTCAGTCCAACCATAATTAGAGATGGGGCAATACTGACTTTTCTGATTTGGTGTCCAAAAAAAAATATTTTTTTAAAAATATGTTTAAGTTAAGATGAAACAGCCTTTTTCATATTTTTGGTAAAAAAGAAAAAAAAATTTGAGGTTGATCCAAAATTTTTAACTTTTTCTTTTGTTTCTTTTGCTTAAAGTTTATTTACTGTTTTTTATAATCTTTCTTGTTTGTTTTCATTAAAATAAAACATCATTTCAAAACTAAAAGCAAAAACATTTTGTTCCAAAACTATAGAAATGAAATATTTTAACATTTCCAATTTAATATTCATCACAGAAAATTACAAACATGTCTTAGCTTAATCCATGACCTTGTATAAAGCAGAAATCTGCAGATTGTATTTGCCACTGCCAGTCCTCTGGTAACGTGACAGTAGAATACTGAAATGTCACCTTAATAACAAATTCAAACTATGCAATTCTTGATATTTTTAAATATTTAAGATCACGTCCTGCTACTTTTTCAAAAAGAGTCAAACCATTGAAGTTAACAGGACTAAAACAAGCTGAGGCTTCCAAATTGCTCTCCTGGCTGGTGAAGCGCACACGTATTTGCATGCACAGGGCCATATTCACCACCCTCAAAACTGATGCAGAGCCAGAATATTCAGCAAAGTTGTCCTTAGATATCCCAATATTCAGATTTAGACCAGTAGAATTTGCCTTAATGTATCGAATGTGTTCACTCAAGATTGAACAAGTGAAATAATATAACGAAGAATTTGCCAGCTCTTTAGTTAATATTGTGACCCTCACTGCTTATTTTAGCCAAGTTTTCTTTTCCAGTTATCTTATAAGCAGCCTGTTTTTCCATCAGTGAATGTGTTTACATAAAATCAAATGTTTTCAAATGTAATTTAAAACAAATTAATGGATCTTTTCTATGTATATTTTTATATTTTTTAAATATATCTATTTTTTATGGGAGAGACCGTACATGCACACACACACACACACACATACACACCCGGCAAGGTGTTTTACAATACCAGAACCTGTGGACTTAAAGTCAGCGTGTTGCCTATATAAATGGTCATCAGTTTTAGGAATGTTTATGTAAAAAATTAAGTAAACCTTGCCATAAGCTTTAACAGCTGACTTAGTCATTATAGAAAGTCCTGTGCTACATGCTGAGAAGCCAGATATAAATAAGAAACACTAGGTTTCCTCTCTTTTTGCAGTCTTTTGTCAAAGACTAAAATGACAGCATCATACAGTTACCTAAAAGACTTGACAGGTATTGATTTAAAGCACGATATATCAAGTAGTACTGTAAAAAGGATTTCATGGTCATAAATTTTAATGTCTTCCAATTTTGCACTCTCTCAGTAACTTGTCAATAACAACAATTCCGTTTAAAATATTTCCTTCATTCCTGCATGGCATTACGTCTATTATACAGTTATTTGGATACATAATCTGTGACAAAAATCAGCTGAGTGCTATAAATCAAAAGTTAGATTATATTATCTGTAAATTGTTCCGTAGTGTTTTAATGATAAAAAGTATAGCTTGTTGCTACAAATATCTTTATCAAAAGCAAATCTTTTTAGAGAAATGTGTTACACTTTAAAAAAATCATATATAAATATTTTTATTTTTGTTATAATTATAGATAGACTTTAAATATAATTTAAAATATATTCTACATTTTCCCCAGAAAGCTGAGCTCCTTAGGATTTTGCAGGAATTATTTGCACACCCTTCAGTTTTAGAAACGGTAGTTTAGCTAGGGAGAATTTGTTGTAGCACAAACAAGGAACATCATAATCTTTTTAATGGCGACATTTGATTAAATTGACTAAAAACCCTTTGATTAGACCTAATGTAAAACATGTTAGTTAAGAAAATTTGTCTCCATGTAATTTCATTCAAAAAATATAGTTCTTACTGAGTTTTAAGCTTTTACCTATTTGTAAACTGTTTTTACAATAGTTATGACATTGAAATTTCAAACCGAATATTTGGATGCCTGTAAGATCATAAACGAAAGATTGTTTAATATGAACTAAAATAAAATTGAGCTGCTTATGGCTTTTTAGCAAAGAAAAGTAGCAACACTAAAAAATTACTATTTATTTGTTTATTAAATTAAGCAGTTTGTTCTGCTGCGTCCCCAGATTCTATTTGTACTCGAGTTTACCACTCAGACCCACTGCAGTTTGACAAAAGTAATCCCAGGGTTTTTTTTGCAGTGGTAATTTCATTTAAAATAGGTGTATCTCTGCGGTCACTTAAATATAATGCACAACCTTCTCATAGCGAGTGGTGGGCTGATTTCTAATGTACGGCTGGCTTCACGTCAGTAAGAACATGGGAGCAGAGCCCGTTGTGCACAGGAAACCTCCTGAGGTCCTGAGGCTTCAAACTTTTCCTTGCGTGCAAAAACCTCGCTCCCGCGAGAGGCGGCAGCGTGCGGGGGGACGGCGGGGCTGTGGGACCCTCCGTGGGCAGGAGGCTGCTCACTTGATGGTGGGTTTGCAGGATCAGGCTCATCCCTCTGACTAGTTTTGTTATCTGGCACGGAGGAGAGTCGTTTATTCTGCGGGAAAATGGGAATTACGGTCGCCTCTCTTTATTCAAACACTTTGAAAGCAAAGTGCAGAAATCACGCCGATCTGTGAAATTCCCTTAGAAATCAACTAATAATGTCAAATGTTACACTTTTAAAACTGTCAAACAAATTAGATATGTATTTGTTTTAAGGCAGCTAAATACAATAACAGATTAAAACAGATTATGTGGCTGTCTATTCACGTTTGAAAATCTCTAGTAAAAAAGGCAACGTCTATTTTTATTTTCTTAACGTATATTTATACAAGAAACGATTAAAAAAAAAGTGCTTCATAAAACTTCAGGGCACTGCTGGCAGTTGTCTAATATACTGGTGACTAAATAAATATTGCAACCTACCTGCAACTGCTGACTACCACAACAACAGCAGTTTAAATAACAGTAAGGATTTTATGATGCTAAGTCAATACGGAGAATTTAGGGCATGATCCTTATGTGACTGGCAACTTTGCAGTCCTACAAATCTCTTGCCACCTTCTTCAGACCTTATTTTCTGAACATATTTTCATATAACTTATTTATATGTGGCTGGAGCTGTTATTTATATAGTTAAATTCAGCTATGCATTATACCTGAAATGTTATTGACTGCCCCGGACAAACAATTGCACCTGAAACAACTGAAAGAAGATGTATGGATTGAAATGGGGAAGGAGGAGAAAAAATCGTGGGTTCTTTCAAATTATATTAAATGCAAGCATAGCTTAAGATATTTTTTTCTTTAAAAAATCTGGCAAAAGGCTATCTTCCTGTTGTCCAGTTTAAAAAATAAAAGAAACCAGGTAAAAGAATTAAAGAGCAAGAAAGTCTGCAAGGCATATGAGAGCCTCAAGTGGTTGGAACATTTTGCTTGAACATCTGTTTGTCGATGCATGGTTCTGGTGTTATTAATCTTCTTTGTAGGTAAGCAGGTGATTCACCCCAACCAAATTGCTGTTGTCCAGGAACAGTTCTCTCCGAACCCTGAAAAAATAAAGTGGGCACAAGAACTGATTTCTGCTTTTGAAGAACATCAGCGATTAGGCAAGGTAAATATTTTGTTAATATGCCATAGTGGAAACCAAATTTGAATAATATATAAGATTTAGAAAGATTGGTGATAGCTCTTTGCATTTATCTTCTGAAGTGTGCTGTAACTGAGAGTAGTGCTTGTGAAATCTGTGACTGGATAGGCTATAGAGTGTATATTTATTATAAATGTGTCACTTCCCAATATATTTACAAATGGACCAACTATCTTTTTCTTCACATTTTTTTAACTTTAATTCTTTGATTACACAGCCTTTTGCGTACCTGCATATACTGACAGCATCAGTGAATTAAAACTGCTTCTCCATTATGCCGCAGAATCACGGTTCTGCCATCACAGGGAAACGGAAATATTTGCAATCTAAAAGCAGGTAGCCTGGAAGACAACTCAGGCTGCTTGTACAGACATCATTTATGGAAAGAAATAAACAGATCAGGATGTCTTGGTTTTTAAAAAAAAAATCTCTACGTTGGTAAAACTGTTTCACTTCTGGGGGTTTGATCCTGCAAGCATCCCTAGTAGCAAGTGAATTTACTTTTGAGCAGAATGGCTTGCAGATTGTGGTTCTTAATCATTAAAAATGGGAATGTTTTATGTGCATTTGTACCAATTGCTGGACCTGGAATTTGGATAGAGGAGAAAGCAAATTAACACTAGAATATGATTGTTCCTAATTTAGTGCATCATTGAGTCTCACGTTTCCTGCTCTGTGGGTTTCTGCTATGTAAATATTGCGGTGGTGATGCACAATCTGTCTCCACTTTGTGCCAGTAATACTTAAATTAGGGGTCGCCTGAAGGAAGATTTTATGCTAGTTGCGGCATTGTCAGTTAATTATCTTAAAGGTTATTTGCTATAATCCAGTTTGCCTCTTTTTGAAAGAAAAAAAAGTTGCAGCTAAATATGTTTCTCTTAGTTGCAGCCAAGCCTGAGCTAGTTAAAAAGCAACGTCCCGATGTCAGAACGGGGAGTGCAGATGAGCAGGAACGGTTCACTTGTGCTTGTGTGGCATTCAAGTGGGAGACAAATCTCTTCAGTAGTGAAGTTCATATATAAGACTGTGCATAGGGTCTCACTTTCTCCAGTACCACGTAAAGGTTTTCTGTACATTTCTTTGCTTTCTGATGGGTAGGAATGGATTGGAGTGTGTGCCTTCCCTATTCCCCTGCCTTTCAGATACCACAGATGTGCATTAGAAATGTTAAAAAGGTCAAAGCAGAAATGATGCTTTTCTCTCAGGGTAAAAGTCTGATAAGGTATTTGCTATTGCTCTGCCCTTCTCTTTGCTGGGCTATTGCATCCCCTCTGTGTTACCTGGGTGTTTCCAATACGTCCATGACTATGATATCTGGGTGCTGTCCTGAGCAGTTATTTCAGGGTCACTATTAGGATGCTGTATGCCTGTATCTCTTTGTTCTGTTCCCTTGATTTTTAAATATATCCATCTTCGTGCAAACAATTTAGAGATAGAAAATGTATGACTGCTTTTGCCCATTATTCTGATTTACAAAGCTTGGCTGTCTTACAAAAGGCATTGGTATAAACATGATGCTAGTGCAAATGTGTAGGCAGGTAGATGCAGAAAGAAAAAAGTCAAACAACATACTCAGACAAATATAGTTTATGTTTGTGATGTGTATAATACCATTCATTCAGCTGAATTTAGTGTCAGAAACTCATCTACGGAATATCCTTCTCATGTAAACAATCAATGAGGAGACTGGACTCAATTTAACTCTAGTCCCAGTATCACACAATCCTGAAGCCACACATGTTTAATATTGAAGAATTCTGTATTAGGCAAGCATTAGTCTTTGGATTTGTTTTGAAGCTGTTATTTTAGTGATATAATGCTGCTTTCTTACTTGTATCAGCCATTCAGGGAGGTTTCGTTTAGGTTTGGGGGATTTTTTTTTTTTTTAAATAAATGCTTTTAAAATAGGTTATAAGCCTCTATAACCAGCTGCAAGAACAGATTTGCTGGGGGTTTGTGGTTTGGGCTATTTTTTTAACCAACCAGGTCGCATGCTTCATATATTTTTGCATGTAGCCATCTATCAATAAAAAAGGACTGTCAGGCTAATACGTGAACTTCTGGATCTTGTATCACTGCCATATTGCCGGGCTTCGTAACAAAATCGGAAAAATAGTTTTTCATGGAGTGCTGCAAACTTCTTAAACTGAGTTTGCAATTTGGTATTATAAATGGGTCAGTAAGAAGAGCTTGGATGGTCTGATTACTTAATTTTTTTTCCAAAGCAAACATATCTCACTGAGGGAGCCTCTTGCTCTGCATCCTAGCGACATGCTAAAATGTAAGTAATAACTCTTCCCTTACCGCCTCCTGACAAATACTCCACACAGCGGTTTTAGTAATCCTCGTGTCCTAATGAAACACCTCTTCTGTTTTCCTTTTCCTTTTATTATATTAAAGTGTTCATGTCAGTACGACTAAAAATATAGCTGTGGTTACTGTGGTTGAGACTTGCATGGTTTTGCCATGTTATTAATCAAAGTTGAAAGCCTGGAAAAAATAAATGTGAGGGATTTGTGCGGCTGTTTGTGTGGTAGATAAGTTACTGGTCTGCAGTCTTTGGGATCATATTTTGTTATTAATTGGGTTTAAAGTTTGATGGTCTAACTCAATGACATTTTATATTAAAATACAGTAATAAGCTTTTATAATCTATTCCAGTTCAAGAGCTAGCAATTGCTGAAAGATTATTATCTTTCTTTGAGAGAAGGCTGAACCAGGCTACTTCATCCTGGAGACTGAAGGGCTTTGACGTAGTAGCCCCCAAATGTGAGTACCGAGGTCAGGAAAAATTAGGATCTCGGATGAGCACTGCGGAATTGGCAATGCCGTGGCAGTGTCCAAACAAGGACATAGAGAGATAACCAGCTAGCCAAAAACATTTGGGTTTTGTTCTCTAACAGAGACAGTCCTGTTTGAGGGGTTGTTTTGGTTTGGCTTCTAGGTTGTTTTATGCTGTGGGGTTTTGTCTTTTTACATTTCTAATGTGACTGAAAAATAGCATATCTAGGAAATAAATGGTAACATATTTTGGACAATGAGAATACAAACGTTGAAAAAGTGCATTTTGATTTTTGTACAACTGTTTTTCAGTGCTCTCTTTTGTCTAGAACTTTAAGATCTAAAAAGGAAAAGTGCTTGAAAAGAAAAGTATTATGTCCACATCATTTCAATATTTTTCCAGTAGAATTGCATAACTAGAGGATATACTTTTCAAAATTTAAAAATTCATCTTAAAGAAAGCAGGTGTAGCTATTGGGAAAGTCTGTCATTTACAAGATAAATGACAGAGTGTGTTCAAAAAATAAAAAGAAGGGTAATAAACATTGTTCTGGTAGTCTAAAGGACAGCTTCTATTCTAAATTTCTGAAGTATTTGTACTGCATTAAACAGGGAAGTGATCTAATAAATACAGATTAACTGAGTCCAAGGGAGCAGATTTAGTGGGAGAAGTTACTATCTTATTTCAAGAAAAAGATCTGACTTCTATCAATGAAGGTACAATAGTTTTTACTATGTAAGTAACTCCTGTGTTTACATTACCAATGCATTAGATACAGGAATATAATCTCTTCTATATGTAGTTAGTGTTTATATATGGCAAGAAAATAAAACATTGAAAATGCAGTTTTGAGCCATTTGACTTGTAAATACATCAGGCACGATATCATTGTCATAGCAGGATCTTATTGAATCGTCTGGTATTTAAATAAAATTCAGCCAGAAAGAAAAGCAGAAGAGTAAAGTAAGAGGTTGCTTACACATTTCTCTTATGTCCTAATTTATAAATGCTTTTAAAGCACCCGCACATTACACCGGGGAATAGCTAAATGCTGCCACCATAGTCACCTGTCAGGTAAGGATTATTTAGAGTTAAGGTTCGTAATTCACAAACCCAAGCTGTAATATGGGTTGAATATTTTAGATCCCATGGGGCAAAACAGAAGAAATATCTGTACATGCAGCATACAAATGCACAGGGTGCTTGCTTCTAAGAAGACCTTTAGCATATGTTTCTTGCATTATATTCAGTACCATTGTATATCATGTTCCCAGCAGCTGAGGAATAATGTATATGAACTGCAGTGATTGGACAAACTATACAGTTTCTTTTACAGACCTTTCCAGGATTATGAAAAATCTTAGGAATGCATTTATTTACACAGCATCTACCCAACAAAGGAATGGAAATTTCCAGCAGTGGCTCCCTTATAATGCTCTTTGTTTAGGAAAAGCTACCCCACGCCACTGTATCTTGGAGACGATGCGCCCTCGCGCTTGGGCCAGATCCAGCTCCCACCACCACCCAGGGAGGTCTCCCCCCGCTGCCCTCCTTCTCCCAGCAGTGCCGTGGCCCCCGGGAGAGGTGTCTGTGTATGGCCCAGCCACGAGGGATCCATCCCATCCCAATCCAGCCCGTAGGTGCTGAGAGAGCAGGACCATGCCCCAGGGGTGGCAGGCTCCTCTGGGCTGCCTCCTGGGAGGGATGCACTGGAGCATCCCTCTGCCATGGGGCAGTGTGGGACCCCATCAACCCGCAGGGATTATATCGCACTTTATAGGGCATTACATTCACACAGAGCTGGGGGTGAGGGAGCAGCCCGGCTCCCCGCTCCTCTCACCCAGGACAGACTGCAGGCAGAGCTTGGAGGTGCCACCAACCAGGCTGGATCCCATCCCGGGGCGATGCCAGCAGCACAGGGTACCTCTGCGCACGCTGGGCTGCAGCGCTGTCAGCCCGCGCTCCAAGGACGCAGGGCATTCGCTGTCGTTTATGTTAATTAGACAATGTATATTCTTCGTGCTGCTGCAGAGTGGGGGATTCGGGGATTTGTGATAAATTGCCACCTTTTATGAGCTTCGGCCTTCAGAAGTACAGGCTCAGGTGCATCTCTATGCAAACATGGAGAGTGCTGGTGGGATTTAAGCATTGGCCACTGTTATGTTATTTATCTTTTCAAAAA